GGACAGGATCGGCCTAATCCCTTTGTATACCGACAGTTTAACTGTCGTCGATTCCGACGATGTCCTATCCCACAGTAAGATGGGCGCAGGGACGATGACGCGCGTGAATTCGCTTTTTTGTGTGATAGTGGACTCGCGCCGTATCTTCCTCTCTCTCACCCAACTAGTCCCGTTGCAATGGCAATGTCAAGATAGGCGGAGGTGGTGACAGTTGGCTGGCACCTGTGGCTAGACGTGCCATCAAGCATCCTCCTGCCATGGTGTGGCACTTGTTAAGAGTGCGATTGTCGTGCTCTTATATGCTCCCCCCTGCTTTTCGATCTTATCTACTGCGCAACCAGTTATAGGAGCACAACGTACACTGGTAACGCTGAGTATAACCAGTGGGTTTGAACGCAAGAACTAACTTGCCGCATATCTTCCATATCTTATTAGCCGTCCGTACGTATGGTCTGACTTAACAACTCTACGTTTTTTGTTCCTCGTGAAATTGAGTATAGGTTGACGAAGGTAGTAAACCTATCTATCCTCCTTGTAAAAATAGTAATACGCGCGTGAATGAGAACTTTCGAGTTCCAGGTATTTGCATGCTTGAGGAAGAAGGAAGGTTGAGCACCGGATCAAGTTGTTTCTTATTCTGAGCTTTCGGGCTCTTGCGAAAGTCCATCGTCAGAGATAAAAGCGTCCACGAAAAGCAAGCCAATCAGATGTCATAGGGAGAGGGAGGGAGGAAGGTGGAGGGAGAGTATACCGTTAGGGATAATAGCTTCCACGAAAACAAGTAATACGCGCCTTCGAAAAACAATTAAATCTTAATGCTAGCTCAGTTGTGAAAGTGTTCAGGTTTATCCTCTGACAAATTTTTAGCGTTGAAATAACACCCCGTACCCATGAAAGCCGGTGGTATGGTCAAAGCTGATATTCCACACGAATATATTTATGTTGGAACATGGACTGGCGTTGATAAGTTCTCCACCTTAAGTTCCTATTTTCCAAAAATTTGCATCATGGCGGGATGAAAAGCTTGTTTCAAGGAGAAAGACTTTGCTAGTCGGAATGTAACACCGCCTGATCCTAAACACCCCCCTAGACCTGAGTATCTCACTGTCAGGAGGTTGACAAGGTTGTTTTTGTATTTTGT